AGTAAACAAATTTTCCTTTTCCTTTTCGGAATCGTCGAAAAGGTTTATGAGTTTAAAATCGTTAATCTTTACGTAATTCTATATATTTCAACATGATAATTCCGATTATTGAAATTATTAAAATGTAGCATATTTTATATTTTTTTTTTAACTGAAATAACACCACATGTATGGCTACAATTCACTTGACGTTTTATAACTTAGATAGATAGAGTTATACTATCATAATATACAACACATTTTCCATGATATATTACGCCATACTATTTATATTATGAAATCATTCGTTGCTATTTTTTTCAGCATTAATAATAGCTTCTTAATTTGACGATAACAGATTCTTTTATATTGCCTCGTATATTTGTTACAGAATTCCTATAGAAAATCTGCTGTTAAACGATATCTGGTGTAAAATAAATGTACTACTTTTAGTTTGAAATTTCACAAAAATTTGGATATTTTCAAAATTCTTCTTCTCAAATATTGTGATATCTAAATTAACAATTCACAATAATGAGAATATCTGAGATTCATTTCTTTCTTGATAGGATCAGTCGTTGTTGTATACCTTTTGTCCATTCCTCACTTATCTCTTATTTTTTCGAATTACCCGTTAGTCATCGTAAATTCATGCCCATAACCTATCACGACGGAAATTAAATGCTGGTTCATTTTCTTTCTTTCCTTCGCCAAATCTGCAACGGAGAGAACTTATCATTTTCAGTCAATTTTATGATATCCATTTTCAATCGAGTGTATTACATTAGACTTTATCTGTAATATCGCATTAGTATCCTACACTGCGTTACTTAATAGAGAATCAAACGCCAAACGATCTAGAGCAAAAATAAATTAAGAATAACAGTATTACTTGCTCAGACGTTAACAATACCATTGGACGAAGAAAAGATTGCAATGTTAATCCTTGTGACTATAAGGACATTCTGAATAAAAGAACCACTTCAGAAAATAACTGTCATGAGGAATAGGTATATTTTGTTGCCAAAAGCTGATGTTCCACATATTACGACTACCTGATACAAATCAAATTCGTAAAATGTTGATACTCCTCGACGGCTGTTCGTCTTTGTCAAATCCATTGAACAAAATGACGAAGGGAGCATACCAAGGAAGTGTCGCTGTGAAGTTCGCGGCGTCTGCGGAAATTCTGTCATCGCGACAAATTTTCCCTCTTCTAACACTTAATAAAAAATAACTATAGAAATAAGGGAAAATATGCAGAGGAAAAAAATTGTACGTAGACTGCAATTTTCTCAAAGTGAGCATCTATTATGTATCAATTTCATGGGGAGGCGTTAATGACCTCGGTCGATGTCTGTGAATAACTGTAATTTCCATGCATTATAGATTACTTCTATAGACAGACGGCGCGAACAAATTCAAGAGGAAACGATAATAGTGGAAATAATAAATCGTTTATAACTTGGCGAGGTGTAGTCGGATGATTCTTTGAGTTTTCCGCACAGACGTTCTTTAGTAAACGAAGCGAGATGGACGTGTTCTACAGGCAGTACAACACTTATCGTATACTACTGAGTATCTCAGGACTCTGGCCATATCATAAGTCGATTTACTCAACGATTCACAGAATATCGATTTCTGTCATTATGCTCGCCTATATAGTTTTCGAGGTAACCAGAATACATTATTGTTATGCCTCCAATTTATGTGCATCGCAACGTTGTATTGCGGATCTACTCGTTAGAAATTTGCAAGAAGATGAATATGTTATTGTATTAACGCCATAGAAAGATATTGCGTCCGTCTTGACATAAAGAATTAACAGAATATGTTTTTAGGTTTTATCGCTTTTTAAATCTGGTATTACATTTCGGAATTGCATCCTAACATTATCTACAACCTGTCCAATTATGGTCTTTTTCATGCGATATATCACTTCCGTAGCAATGTCCCCAGTGGTACGTGATGCTCTAAAGTGAAGTTTATGAAGTTCAACTAAAGAGATTCATATATATTTTTCTATGTGGCTACAGAATGTATATATTTTTGACAATCTACGCAAGACAGACACCACGCTGAAAGATGAACTTGAAGTTCAGATACTCATGAAATACGTCGACTATGCGACTTACATAATCTCTATTTTCCTATGTAAGAGAACATTTTCTATGTTTGTGGAATTTGTCGCCGCAGTCGCGATTACGTTAATGTCTGAATGTTTCCTTGCGAATATTATGTAAATGTAAAATTGTGAATCTTCGGTTATGTGATTGGCTTCATTAGAGAAAAAGGTGAATACTGATCCATTTGTACTTAACGATGTTTTGTGCTGGTAATGCTGTTCCTTTAATACGATTATATGGTAGATATATGTTATTTGAAAGAGAAATACGCGAAAATACTTCCGTCGCCGCGGTTGCGAGACTAACACAATTTGCTAGTACAAAAGTATTCGGATGCGAAGATATCACGCTATCATTAAACTATTCCCGTTTTAGGCTTATGTTGCTCGTGGACTATATTGGGAGCGCTATATGTCTTCACTCCGATAACGTTGGATCTGCTATTGCCCTTGAATGAATCTCGAGGACGTTATTTTTCCTACTTGACAATGTTTTCTCACGACCGCATAGAGTATGTCGATATGGTATGCGTGAATATCCTAGTTGTTTATACAATTGGATTGTTCTGTCTGGCGGGTACGGAACTGATGTTGGCTGTGTTTGCCCACTACATGTGCGGATTGTTCGAGATAACTAGGTATGAATGAAAATGCTGACTTTTCTCTTTTTGACATGGTCATTGCGTGCAACAGATACCTTACAGCACTTACAACGTTACAATGGTCATGATGGTCAGGTAAATATACGATATGTAAAACATTCAAACAATACCATTTAAAAGGGGAGCGTGTCTCGTTGCGGTTCGCTAATATTGCTGTCATAGAATTTCAGTAACTTTAATTACGATTTATCCGGCTCTCACTCTCGCGTAGGATCCTTCTCAGACTTTCCTATTTTACTCGTATGTGCTGTATCCTTCAGACGATGTTGTTTGTACGTATTCATATGGCGACAATCTATTTTAGTCAATCGCAGCTTTCAATTCAATCGACTGAACAGAAATGGTTATCTATGTGATCATTTAATTCTTATAAATATATCTCAATACAGTCATTAGTGCGATAATTCGCAGGCTGTTAGCTAATTAGGGTTAATTCAGACGATAGAAAGTGAAATTCTTTGTTAAGTGATATTTGACTAAAAATTTGTGTACATTTTTAGCTATCGATTGCGAAAAACAATTGCGGATTTGTCTTCGTCGAGGCAGATGGACCTGAATTTCAGGGACATTCGGCACGTCGTGGACTGTCATAGGAATACGCTACAGTTGGTACATTTGATTATAATGAGTGGTAGATATTATATGATGGTAGATATCTAAGCTGAACCTACTTTGTTTTCCATGCATTTCATGCCGACGTTTCTTGTGGAATTCATTCGCTGGATAAAGTTTCATCAATTACGTATTATCGAAATATCCGATACATTATATTCTACCATCTGGTATAGCCGTGATTTCTGTCTCAGTGATTTTGCATCGAGTAAGTATCCTTTCAGTCCTACACTTTGTTGCGAAAAACCAAAATCCTCAATGAATGTAATGTGTGAGAGCACATTCTCAAGGTTTTTAGACCTTCTCTGTTCTTTCTCTTATAAATGGTTCACCATAAAGGTGAATTTTGAAAATGGATACTATCTTCCATTGGTTATGAATATACATAGATTGTTTATACAAATATCGTTAACGTCGGCCGAATATTTCAGTTCAATTTGTTGCGCATAGAATTCAAATATTTCTAACGAGAGTAAATTGAAATGTGTTCTTTACCATTACTTTTGTTCGGCCCTTTTTACGAGAAAAGACACTCTGATAATTCCGAACAATTGAGCAGAATGGGAAAATTGATTCTAATTTATCCTAATGTTTCACAGGTTTCTAAAACGATAACAGACGCGAAAGATGAAAAAGAAATCTTCATCTGTATCTTTTTCCTTATTGGTCATTTAGCGTTCTTGTACATATGTTGCTATTCCGGACAACTTATAATAGATCGCAGTCTGAACGTGTTTAAGGACTCGTAAGCTCAAATTTGACTAAATGTGGTTGTTCTGTTGTTGTCCATTTAATAATTTTCTATTTGTCTAAATGTTTCCATTTATTAAATAAGTAACGCGATTATAATACTAGTGTTTCTTAAGAGATGCAACAATATGCAGGTACAATTCAACGTGGTATTACATGCCTCTAGAAGCGCAGAAGTTGTTACTCTTTATCATGTTGAGGAGTTCGACAGAAAGTGTGATAAATATTTTCGGATTTTTCGTTGCTTCTCACGCCGGTTACTCGAAGGTAATATTTTTAGTCCATTACTGTATAATCGTTATCGTATATCTGTTTGTTGAATGTTATTGCATTTCAGTTGCTGAGTACGTCTTTCTCGTACTTTACTATGATATACTCAAATCAATAGAATGTTTCAAGCATTATAGATCCTATGTTGTTGACAGTAGCGAAATTGTGACTTGAAGTCAAATTTCTGATAGTCAACATGTGTATTCCCCGCTTTAATGAATAAACCTAACGTTTCTTCATTATCCTGTGTAAAATTCATACACTAGAAGTAACTATTATACCATAGTATGAACTTTAATAATTAGTATGATATTGTTGCATATTAATATATTGTAATATAGACTATATATTACAATATATGGGAAAGAAGAGAGTGACTACTCTCTTCTTTCTTTCAATTTTATATTGAACGACATGTCATATTTAAATTAGAAACTTAATAGCATCTGTTCCATGATTTTTTGATATATTTGCATAGTAAACATTTCTTGGTCGTTGGTCGACTACGTTATGCAAAGTCTAACACTCACCACTGCTTACTTTTGTAACCGAATATAAATTTCAATAACTTGGTTTGTATGCAATGGAGCAAACACTATCCAGCGCAACAAACAGTACCATAATGTCAGGTTGCACGTCTTTGAGTGCGAAGTTTGAAGTAGATAGCTCATAAACTTCTATTACGAATATTATGATCTTTTACGAATCGTTGTTATGATTGTATGTATTATGTGTGTCGTACGAAACATTTCAACATATATTATCAACGTAATGGAACTTAACTATCGTAATTACATTGATAAAGTTTTACATAAACCCGAGAATATACATAGAATCTACAAGATTTGCTACCTTTACAATTTCTTTATGTGCAATTTACAATATTAATAAGCCTCGGTATTCAGTGAAACTTATATGTGTGAAGGTGGCCATTCGTTCCTTCCTTTCTCCTCATTATCTCAGTTCCCTAATAAATATATGTACGCAGTAAATACCTTGTAACATCTCTATACATCCGCAGACTAGTTTCAAATTTTACCAATCGTAATAGTCGTATTTAATTACGGCAATTCTGAAAGATCACAATTTTGTATACATCACAATACCACTATTGTATTTATTACAGCTACACTATTGTATTTATTACAGCATCTATTCATATACTACTTAAAGTACAAGTAAATTAAGTTTCGTATCACTTAATAACACTTTTATGTAACTATAAGAATTTGATGACACCGAAAAACGCTTCACTTGAGAATAAGGATGCGCGCAACTACTTTCGTGTATAGAAGTTTCCTATACTTGTGTCGTTAAAACAGTGTTAAACAATTACGAACGATCAAACGATCTTTCCGTACATGCTTTCTATTCTGTTCTGCACATTCGATACACTTTACCCCACGATGCAACACACACTGACCAGGACTGGCAAAAAGGATGAGGTGGAACACGCGTGCGCGTTTTCAGGAAGAGCGGGGAAAAGCTGAAAATAGTGCGAAAGACCGTCTGTGCACTCTATAATTTACTTAATTCACCGATGTCTCGAAACACGTCCACTCCACTGTTATTATCGCACCCTTCCGAGTCGCCCGCGGAAAACTTTCTCCTTATTTATAAAGACTTCCGGCGGATGGTTGAATTGAATATTTCTGCAGCACCACAAGCATCAAAAATATCTATTAGTTTCTGAGAAGCATGGACTTTCTTGGGAGCAAATATTATAACATTAATCAGCAACTTCTACTGTTGACTGGCTTGTGGCCGTACGAAAAGTCCAAATTAACGATCATTCTTAACTTCTATATGCTGGCGGTCTTCATAGTTGGTTTGATCATTCAGGTATACTCAATCCTCTTTTAAGACGGTTTGCTGAAAACACAACTTCGATATAACACGGTGGAAAAATTGCGATAACCCTCCTATAACACGATATCCTTGTAACATGGTTTCGATTACGACACGAATTAAGCGTATTATAGAAGGATGGCCTGTATTTCTTTTAATCTTGCAATTCTTTGTGCTTGTTACTGTGGGTTTTCCTGCGGTTTCTGTTGCAAGTTCAATCTATCATGGAATATTTTCGCGAGCCAGTGTAGGTGTTATTCAACTATAAATAGGTAACAAACTATTTCAGCTAACGAATATTTTCATCTCGGTGTACAATATTGACGACTTCATTTCCTATTCTGCCTACGTGATAATAACAACAATGTACATACTAAAATACTGCACGTTTTGCTGTCAGAGCAAAAAAGTGAGTTCTATATACTAACGTGTGATTGTTTGTAGACAATGTAGTGAAATAAGGATTTTTGTTTCCAAATGCAGATGAAGACATTGTTTGAACTCGTCAAACATGATTGGAACGATATACAACACAACGAGAACGAATTGGATGTGTTACAGAGTCGTACGTCTACTGGAAAGCTCATTACGATAGTTGCCACAAGTAAATTTATTTTACGAATGGAGAACTGTCAAAATTTAAAACACTCGAAAATCAGTAATTTATTCGCTTCCATTGTTATTTATCCACGATCTTTTGTTATATGATTTCTGCACTTTTTTAACGTATTAATGAACAATTTTTAACCCAGCTAAGCCTATCACCCCTCAAAAAGGATGGCCGTACAATAATTTTCATATTTATTTGGCAATTCTTAGCAGCGTTGTTTCTATTTAACGTTATTCTTCTATTTGAATAGTTCTTCATCATCAACAAAAAGTATCATTTAAAGCCACTTAGAATATCTGTGTTAATTTCGAAACAATGTGATGTGTTCTATATATAAATATTTCTCCACTTTCTGCATGCTTATTTTTAAATTACAATATATTACTCTTAAGCTGAAGTCAGCCGATGACTAGTTATTTTAATGATTCTGAACAATTTAGTATTTATGTTATGGTCATCTTCATAATTTCAGTAATAATTATCATGACTTCGATTCTGTTTGCCGTATCTCAATTGCTGCCAGTCATTATCGATATCATGATACCTGTAAACGAATCTCGATCAACCCACTTGGCCAATATGACATTTATTATCATACGATATAACAACTCGTCTTATTTTGCATTATTTTCTTTGATTATTGTTAATATTTTGGGAGCAATAGTGATGACAACCACTGAAACGACTTATATGATACTCTGTCAACACCTTGTTGGGATGTTTACAATTGCAGGGTAAGAAATATTAGCTATGATTTCTTTATTCTGCCTATATTAATTATAACATTAGTACTAATGACTTTTAATTGTAATTGAATATTTTACATTTTGTAATTATAACATTTAGCAAATTTTTAAAAGTATTTTTTACTATTTCTTACTCGAATTTGATTTTCAAAAAAAAAATATATATATATTATCATTCCTTTAAATTGTAATATTCATTAAGATATTTTTCATATTTCAGTAATAAAATTGAGCATGCGTTAGATTGTGACAAATATCAAATGTCTCCCATACGTAAAAACATCGTGATTTTCTTAAGAATTGTAAACGCTGTGAACACACACAAGCGATGTCTCACGTTAGTATCTATAATTTTTAATCGTTGAATGATATTTATACGTATTAGCAGGTATAAAACTGCATTGATAAATAGGCGATATATTCAGTGTGAAGGAGAACGATTGTTTATTTCATAGTTACCGTTACGTCAGCTAAGTGTAAGAGATAATTATGGCAATTGCATAAAATTATTATAACTATAAACATTTCACGAAATAAATATTTCTATTCTAAAATTTCTAATCGCCATTAAGCAAAAGATGCGCCGTTACAATATAACTACACATTCCTATAGAACTGTAGATTACCATCTGAAGAACCCATTTATTTTTTTGCATTTAGTAAAATATCATGTCCCTTGATTTGATTCCTTTATACTGCTACAGTAGTATTAAATATTTTCTTCTAATTATACGAGGGGTAAAGAAAATATTTCAAACGTGTTTGCATTAAAAGAATAAAGAAGAAGAAAATATAAATACATTCTGTATGTTGCTTCAAAATATATAGAGTATATATGATTTTTTATGTTGTTAAAGGTTTTTTAAAGGCTTAACGAGCACTTTCTTGACGACTTACACAATTATGCTTTTTCTCGGCATGGTTTCTCTTATTGTTCATCTCATTTACGTGAGTAACTGTTGGTCTTCATAAAAAATAAAGATGAGTATTAGAAAACACTTGGAGGGAAGGAATGGATAGAGTCAATTAAGTAGTAAATTTCCAAAACGACAATCGAATTAGTTTGTTTCAATAACAGGTGTACGAACTGATATTTCTCGCGTTTAATATAAAGAAAGCTCTGTTAATCTCATTAGTAATTATCCTTCATTTCGGCATATTGTACTTTTGTAACCTCACCTCACAAAATGTTCGAGATCACCATGCTGCTATTTTCTTTTACGCGTGAGTACTTCACTTTTCTGGTTTTTACTTACAATACAAATTATTTGTATTTTCACATGTTGTAATTTGCATGTTTACATGATTTTCTTTAAGTTATTTAACAAAGAGAAAGGTGATGATATAATAAGAAAAAAAATCTAAAAATAAAATACATGACAGAAATATTTTGATTTAATTACTATTAAAGAAATTTAAATAAGTAATTTTTTAGTTTCCTAAGAGTGTCAGAATTGTCATAACTGTAAAGTGATAGTTCTAATAACGAATTAGAATAAACATTAAGTGACGTCTTTCGCGAATTCTTACGAAAGATTTTACTAACTTTATATAGAATTACAGATTGTGTTTCGCATATTTACAGATACAGCGCGAAATGGTATGAAGCTCCCGTGTGGATACAAAAACTATATCTTTTCTTGATGATAGAAACTACAATCGACTTAAAAATAATTCTTGGTTTCTATACCCCATCGATAGAAGGTTTCTTCAGGGTATCTATAATTTGTTAAATTTTATATCTATTTTTATTGTCATTAACTTTGGGTAATTTTACATTCCTCATTAAGATCGACAACTCTTTTCTAGCTTGCAAATTTAAGCGTCAATTATCTTATGGTGTTTCATTCCATGCAAATAACGAAATAAGAAATTTCTATATTAGTCGACGAGTTCACAAATTTAATTGAATAAACAATATTTCAATTATTAAACTGCAACTTATATTCTTCCTTTTTCTAATGCGTAACACGAAAAAGAATTCTTTAATTTCAATTTCATAGTAATATTTTATGCGAGTATAAAAACAGCATCTCTTCTCTTTTGTTTGAGTAAGGTCAAGACCCTCGTTTATGAAACGTTTATTTTTTCACGAGAGTCCTTGTATCGATTTTCCTTTGCATACCGTACTTTCCCCTTAACATACATTCGCACCCCTTCACGACAAATCGATATCTTCTGACACACAAAAGGAACTTTTTTCTAAGGAGTACTCATCCTCTTATCCTTCCTCTTCTTTTATCGAATTTATACCAAAATCACTGAATAATATTATTTAACATATTTTGATATATTTCTTTTCCTATAATACAACGAGTACTATGATACAAGAAGATAATTCTGTAGAATAATTCTTTCGTATAAACTCCACGATTATAAAGATCAGTGGCAGATTTAACACTAACAATTACTTTTTATTTAACTATGTTTGATTATGCATATTTATATTTTTGGGGATATATCTAAAGATAATGGAATCTAGGCAGAGAATTATTTTATCTACTAAATTTTATAAATGAAATACATAAAAATATAAAAGAATTTTATAGACACTTCAAACGAGGTACTTTCACCTTCAACTAATCGTATAAAATCTGCATCTGATTCTTCTCCTTAGAAACACGATTTACAATTCTGCAACAACTTTTGCTCAATACTACCGCTCAAATTTCACAATTATCCTATCAAAAACCAACTGTCTCATCTCACAATCGATTTCTCAAAATCTGAAAACATTTGACATACCGTAGAAAAAGGTTCTAACGCACAGAACACACAAAAGTTTTCTATGATAAATGTCGAAATATTTTCGCGAATCACTGTGCACAAGTAGGTGTACAACAAACAACGAGCGAAGGTAGTTGAAAAATATAAAGAATTTGCATTTGTGTGAATTTCAGAAAATAGGAAGTGATGTCGAGACACTTGGCGCGATAGTAATTATAATTTCACCCCTAGATATATTTCTTTTACCTTCGGTTGAATTTCTTTTTTCACCCTCGCTACACAAGAAACCGATGCAACTATCGATCCTTGCAAATTGCCCCTGCTGTCAATCATTTTTGCCACTTCTCTCGATATTTTCCCCTCTTCTCTCTTGATATTTTACCATCTCCTTCTCCGTATCTTGCCATAAGTTCAGGAAGGGGGGATTGTATACCTGGCAACCGATGAATCGAAACACACTCGTGCTTCAGACTTCGTAGGAGAATGACGTACGTCAGGAGATCCGACTACTCGTTCATGAAGAAGCTTCTGCTGGTTTTAGGACTCTGGCCAACTCCAAATTCGAAGTTTCGTCTATTTCGAATCACTTTCTTTTATACGGTTTACATCGGTTATCTACTGCTCGAGGTAATCTTAATAATAACTCTTTTACATCTTTTACACTACTAGTTTACACGTTCACACGACGCAGATTTTACGTTTTACACTTTACAATTTTACTGCGTATACTGTACATTCAAATGATTCGATGTAACAAGCTATAATGTTATTATAATTTTATTATGATTCTATTACTACTCGATTTTATGTCGTTGTTATCTGGTCATTTACGTTAGACGAAATTTGTCGATTCTCTTATTTTATTAATAGTGACGGTAATCAGCAGTGATCATCGCAGTGAAAGTGTTTGAATGAACTTTCGCGAAAATTATGTTGTTCTATTTCATTAGGTAATAACACATCGCATATATATTTCAAAAGTGTCACGACTCAAAATAACTTTGTCCTGTGTTGGAAGGGCGTCAGAACAAGGGAGATTCGACGAAAACGAGACCAATTTGTGTTGCGAGTCAATGTATAGTTCAGCGAATTTCATTGAACCATGCGAAAGCATTTGATGTGAAAGTGTTCGAAGAATATGTGAATATATAAAAGATCGAATTTGTAACGGCGGTAAATTTATCGTGGACGAGAAACACTACTCGAGCTTTCAGTGGAAATTTTTCACGTCGGTGTGAATGGACGCGTGAAACACTGAAATTGTTATAATATCGTGAATCCATTTCCGCATATATAATTACGTTTCCATAAACGTCGAAATTAATTTTGTGAAATGTGTCTGCATATTTCTGGCAGTTGAAAATAGATTGAAATCTGAGATCACTTGGTAATCTGTTAGGATTAATAGTTTTAAAGCTGCAGCGAGGGGGCCGAATTGATATTTAATTAAATTCGTCAGTTGTGTCTTTAATTGTGGAATTGTAATTCTACGTTACACCGATGTAATCCACGAGAGTGCTATATCGCGTATTGATCTGAAATATTCACTTAAACGGAACAGTGTACTTCTTCAAGCATCGCATACGAAAATTCTAATTTTCTCAAGCACGCGTATATTTTTAGACAACATGGTTTTATACGTTTGAATGCGACATCCATTGCGCGGCGAATGTTCTGTCCATTTTCGTACAGAATCTGATGATAGTTTCCAAATACTTCTTTCATCATAGACATATGGCTGCCGTAAGTTTCCGTTTGCAACGTTAAATTTGTTATTTAGAAAATTTACAATTTTTATTATTATTTTGCTTTTAACAATTACCATTCAACATTAATAAAAATTAACATTCATTATCGTATTGTTAGGTACATACTTTGTACACAGCGATCGAATTCGACTGGAAATGCTTGAAACACGATAAACCGAGCATCGAAATTCTTCAGAAATATGCAGAGTTGGTGCATACTATATTGATATCGCTGATGAGTATGAAATTCATACCAAAACAAAGATTTTCATTTCTTGTATCAATTTTGCGGTGTATAAATATGTATGAATTTCAGTTGTCATATGTTCCACTAGCATTGTCGCGATTTTCATGTATCAGATACTGCCTGTTCTTCAAATGCCGGAAGAAAATTATACTAGATTCTGGCAACGACCGTTTGCTTTGAAAGCATTAGGAAAAGCTATAAGTTATCCTACTCTCTATCTGATCTCCTTGAATGTATTGCTGAATGTTATAATCTTGACAGCTTTGGAAATAAGTTTTATGGTTTTGTCAGAACACATATGTGGATTGTTCAAAATTACAAGGTAAAAATAAAATTAATCAGTAGATGTATGTAAATCTGTTTTATACTATTACCTCACTATGCTATATATAATGTTCACGTTACAGCGAGTAATTGTTTACATTTTATATATTACATTATAGATATGTACATTTTATTTCATATCTATATTTTATTATGTGAAGGATTTTCAGTGGGATTATGTATGTATGTTGGACATAAAATAATTAAGTCGATTGAATGTTTTTCAGCATTTTCTATGAATAATATCAAAAATTAACGCTATATGTACACTGCACATACCGAATACTATTTACGATACGGTTTAATTTGAAAATTGGATATATTTTATATTAACGTTAATGATCATTAATAAAATAAGACAATTGGAATTATGAACCTTGCTGCTATTAACCTTCTAACCATGCACGATGGAATCATTAACAACTTGGTGGAAATCTTAAATCTAATAGTACAATTTTAATTCTTCCCAACGGAACTGAATATTTTAAAGAATTTCACATATTTTTTTTTTAATTAATTTAGCATATTTCTTAATTCTTTAGAGTTAATTTAAAATTTCAAGTAATATTTTCAACAAGTGATAACCCTGGGAAAAAATAATTTTCGCCGTAAGCATGTAATTATAAAATTAATTAATTTTAAAATTATAAAAAGACTGTTATACAATTTTTATGTCACTTTGATGTTTTTAATGTAGCACTATGTTATAAGTATACAGTTATAGCATTACTAAGAAACTTGATAAAAGAAAATCAATGAGTGATATCAATGTTTATGAATACTCCATTTTGGTGTAGCTATCACTTGAGGTACGCTGCCAACGAATATAATAAGGAAATTTCTGGATGCGAAAAAAATAGTAACGTTTACACGAAAATAATATTGGCCGTGCGTGTTCACATAAAAGCGATGAAGTTAGTAGATACCTACGATAATTTCTTATTATATCTACCAAGAATTGGATCTAGCCTATTTTAAATCTTTTAAGATATATGCAGGTCATATGGGACCTATTTGAAATACATTACGTCATTCTAGTGTGTTTTGGTATCATTGGAGCAACCATGGTGTTGGTGAGCGTGAGTAACATTGAATGTTTATGTCAATGACATGAATATTAATTTTTTCATTGCGTGTTAATAATTATTTGGTTTATATACAAATATATAAGTGGAGTTTTTCTCTCTCCTCTCTCTCTCTCTCTCTCTCTCTCTTTCTCTTTCTCTCTCTCTCTCTCTAAATATATCAATCAAACTTATGCAAATGAATTTCATTTTGCAACTGAGAATGCCATTACTACATACACCACGTACGATGACAAAAAACAAATTTTTGTAAATTGATTTTTAAAACTTGAATATTTCACAAAGTAAGTAGTATATTTAAGGGGATAATAATTATCGCGTGCTGAATAATTTTTACATTATTTCTAATATTATCCTCCCTTAAAAAAGAAAGAAGCTTTCTTATTTTCCATTAATCATAAATAAGATGTAAGATACCGTAAGTAATTTGGAAGTCCAAGTAATGAAATTTACAAAATTATTGAATTAGTTCTATCAATCGGTGCAAACGAACGACGAGGGACGAATATTAATGATAATACTCTTCCTTTTGTTATCTTTTATTTCTCACGCTGCATTAGCAATGTACTTTGGCCAAAGACTAATCGATCACAGTTTAGGTGTTTTTTACGATGCGTAAGTATTCCAATTATCGGATCAGAATATTATTAAACTTATTTCCATAATAGTAATAACGATAATTATGTTGTGCATATTTATACAAATTCATACTTTTTTGGAGATGACTAAGGCAAAAGAAATTAGAAACAGACAAAATTGTCTAACGTTTCTTATTTACTTATTTAAAAAAATACTTCTCTTTTATGAAAAGGAAGGATATATACAGAAAAACGACATGAATTTTCGTATAAATTTTAGATACAATTCTCATTGGTACAAAATCCCTGTGAAAGCTCAAAGATTGTATTTAATGGTACTCACACGAAGTGTAAAGGGTTGCTCGTATTCCAAGGGCAAACTCTTCGTTTCATCGTTACAGGGTCTAACCGCGGTAACACGATTTGCTTCTGTCACAGTATAGTCCAATCAATGGAGCTATTGGAATGAATTTGATCTAATCAAACGAAAATTTCTGCATAAATCGCTGTCAAATATTATGGAAAATTAGTAGTTGCGCCTCCTGGAAATTTTCTGCTAAGTTCGATGGAAGTTCGGTGTACCTAACATGACCACCTTCTCGATACGTTTCTTAAAATATGTCTTCTAGATACGCGTTTTTGTCGTCTCTATTTGTTCTTTTCTTTTTTAATATGTACGTTGCAAAATAGTAAGTAACACAGCATGTGTATTATCACGCGCCCAAAATTCATCCTTTGATGAACAAATCAACCTTCATTCATGATAATCTGGATTTGGGATCATCAGTCTAAGTATAATATGTGTGCAAAATCAGGTCAACCGATTGCGTCTCACACAATCAGCTTGTTAATTACGACAGGTTGTAACAGTTTTCTATCCTATGACTGCTAAATGAAAGTTTTGCCACTGGACCCAAATTTGTTACATATACTTTGCCATGTCAGCTATCATGAGCTATCAATCAAAAAAATATCGACGTCTTAATTTTTGCAACTTCCACAATTTTCTAAAATTCCCGCGATATAATTAAATTCAAAATTTTCGTAGTTTTCAACATTTAAGAAAAATTTTGCGTGCATGGTGGGAAGCCCGGTGAATTAATGCTATGAAACATTGAACATTGAAATCCGATGAAAAAGTTCCGAGTTAATAAGCTCGAAATTCGAAAGCTGGTTACTGTAAAAAATATACTGTACATCGTGTAGAAAATTGGAAGGTATATTCTGACAAGGAGCCCCTAGTATTTCTTCCACTCTAAATTTAGACTGAGAATCCAAATTCAGATTATCACAAACAAAGGTTGATATGTCCTATGACTTTCGGGCACGCACAAATACACATGCTCTTTCTTCGTTTTTTTACTATTTTGCAACGTACCAATTATTTTTACGAAATGAACAGAAAATATATCTGGCTTTTTGTATAGAAATGCGTTCTTAGGGGAAATATTTAAAGAAACATGTCAAGAAGATAGTCGTATTTGCTATATCGAATTTGCACGAACTTAGCACAAACTTCTCAGGAAGCACAGCCCCAAGTATTCATTTAATTATGACATTTGACAGTGATTTATGTAAAAGCTCTCGTTACATCAAATCAAATCCATCCTAATAGCTCTATTGATTGAACTAGTGTCAGAGTATAAATGCAGAAAGTAGATCTTTGTAAAATTTTTTTCTCACATTACAGATCACGAACACAACGTTTTCGTATGTCAGGTTCTTCTATTCCCTAAAGAACTAACGTTCTTGAAAAAGCTGATAAAAGATGGAACGGGACATAAATGATGTTTGCCCTAATAACGTTGACATTTAACAGCCTGTTACGTATCATTGATGTTGTTTGCACAATATGTGAAATTATTCTCGACATATTATTGTTTATAACTGTATTTTTGGAAATTAAAAAAGTTGTTGTAAATTTTCTTTTATATTTTTCCCCTTCTTTATGGATTTTAAAATATCTCTACGGTATTAGGTTGCATTTATTAATTATAGGGATAATAGATATTTACTTACGCTCGTGAATATCCGTAAACAATTCCATTTAGACTCATCCAATTATGGGCAAACAAACAGATGATCTCTTCGAACTAATTGGAAGTTTTTCCACAAACGGTGGAAAATATGGATTTTTGAAGGACATCCAAACAAATCTGCGAATAAACATCATATTAATCATTTGAAAAGTTATTTTGCCAGAAACGGAGGTAACACAATATTCTATTAAATACTTTGTAATTCGTTAGAAATACTGTATTTATATGTACATATACAAATATCATGTAATAATTATCTATTAATTTAATGCACAAATTTTATGTTTGCACAAAATCGATTTCATCCAATTTAATTAATGAAGATACATATGGAACTATTTATACTCCGTGATAGTGGTCGAAATTCTTATCCGCTATGTCAGGAAGGCATATTGATTTTTCATTCCCCTGTCATAGTTCTCCCATAAGGCACATTTTTACTCTTTCGTAGGAAATCGACATGCCCCTGTCACGCTAATGCTTCTCGTTTTTGAAGACACATTCTTTGTTTCCCCTCTTGCTTTTATAGAAATTGTACTTTGTGTTCATGCTCCACTTTTCAATAGATTATATTAATTTAATTATTGATCATTGATCATTAACCATTTTTGTTACGACTCATTTTAATATTTGAGTCTCCTTCTGTTATGTAAATGGAATTTAAGATTACATACACGAAGTGTGTCAATATAGTTAAAATTTAATTTCCATCAAAACGTAATCAAATATTAGAGATTGTAATAATTAATATTTTTAATTTGCGAATCTTTAAGAATTCATTAATCCTCTCCCCCTTTTCCCCTTTCTAGCCGCGGTCAACGTCGAGATCATGTTCTACATATTCCATTGCATAAATTTGCAAGTCAATAAACAAAAACATTTGCATTTTTCCCACTTATTTTGATGAGCTAACTTACCGGCTAAAAAATAAACTATGACCCAAATCTAATCCAATTCTGAATTCTCCGATACTGCGGGATACCATGTACAAGAAAGAATTTACGTGTACAAAAGGAACGTGTTTCAGTATTTAGTGTAACATAGCTTAATTATCATAAACAAAACTACTTTCCTTCTGGTTGTATAGTTCCATAACTAAAAAAAACACTAAATAAAAAATGTAAAATAACACTAAAAAAAAAAAACACACAATCTCGTACTATGGCAGGCTACGCGCAAAGTTTCCGCCCTGGAAAGACATTTTCCAACAGCAATAAACGCCAAGCAACAGCGTGGACAGTATATGGCACGTTCTTCTGAAACTCTTTAAAACAGATCAGTAGAAACAAACAACGCTTCGCGTTTCTACATTATATGACACTGTCCAATGTCAAACAATCACACCATGGTTCGTAAATCTTAATTTTTTATTAATCTGAGAAAATTGGACTTGTACGAAATCTTTCGTAAAATCCACATTTTCTAGCTACGTTGATTGCATTGACACTTTTAAGATGAACTTCTCTTTCAATATATTCACCGCTGTCAATGCATGCTGTACATCGCGTCGGTACAATTATTTAAGCAATACTATGGACAGAACTATTTTATTTTTATTTTTGTGCTTTTCCAGCATTGGTAGACAGATATCAACGTGCCTTCTAAAAATGTCAAGCGATGCGAGCAGTTATTAATGATTTTGTCAATTATTGTAACCAAAAGTACACTTGCCTTTTATTGCAACCTGTTGCATTCGCGTCGAAATTTCTAAAACATTAACGTGGCTTAACGTTCCATTAGTTTGATTATCAGCCATGGATTCTCAGCTATGTCCTCTTCGAGAACAGACTCGCACACACAAGCTCTATGCATCACTGGTGAGGATAGGGAACAACTTGTTGCACAGTGAATCAGGAATGGGCAAGTATAGCGCAGTGGGGACGATCATGCGTGAAACAGACGGACACGAAAGGGAAATTGACGTCATTAAATCTCCTTCGTTTTGTTTACTAGTTGCATTAAGTTACATTAAGGTTCGTTAACTTTTCAAACGCATCGAGCAAAAAAAATGTTGCCGAGTTAATACACGAGATAGAGAGGGGATAGGAGAAACTTGTTGCAAATCCACCGTCATAGACGAGTTTTAGCCTTCCTGTAACAATGGACGATCCGCAAAATCCCCGCTACAGACTCTGGCCGTACGATAATTCGTGACTAACGAAAATGAAAAGAGTTTTTGGCGCGGTGATGATGGTCTCATCTATAACGTGTCCAGTATGTGTCTTTATTTTATTAATTTAGATACTTTTACATTTCCTTTTTTAAGATTCAAGGTTCCTTTTAATTCAACAACTTCGAATTTATAGATAAAGGGCATCGCAGAAATCCTTCGAGACAACTGGCGATCTTTAAAAGTAGCGAGAATGGACGACAAATAGTTTTTAAATACGCGGAGAAGGAAAAACTCCTGTGTATAATATTGACATGTAAGAAATTCTGTTTCGAGTTTTCAACGAAACACTTCTTTATCTCTTTTATATT